TAAAACCTGACGATTTTATGTATATCCAACATTTGACAATGATCCAAATAGTATCTTGTTTTTCAATTTAAGCAAGAACGTCTGAGTGTCTGTACAAAGTTGTTCACATGCTCAATATCAAAATGTGTAATCTACATATAAAGCAAAATCTTAAATATTTCTTTATCATTTTACGTTTTTCAAAATCTTTCTAAAGTATTTTTCTTTCTTCCAAAGTTTCACGTTTATTTCCAGTTATAAATGAAAATTCAATTCCAGATTTTTTACTGTTCTCAGAGTTTTCGACACTTCATCAATCAGGCATATAATACAAAGAAAGAAAAAAAGGACTTTGTTTTAAAGGAATATTGTTGGTAAACTTGTAACTTAAAGGGAAAGTATTTCAGTGAAGTAAAACATGAACAATTTTGTGAACCAAAGGCTGCAGGATTAAAATATAAATCAATTTTACACAACACTGTAGCTTCACTCCAAGTCTTCAAATATATACACTAATACAAATCAACCCTCAACGCATCTGATACAGCAACCTCATCCAGATGCATGTCTCTGTGCTTGGCTCACTCTTGTGGCCAGATGCAAACATAACTATGAAAAGATGCTGGTATCTATGACAACCTTTGGAACCTTTTGGATGGGTGGCTCCATCTTGTGGAAACCCTTAACAACAACAAAAAATAATACTTAACTGACATAGTAGCATGATTTTTTTAGGGCGTCCAGTCTGAAGACATCCATCTTTCTGGCCAATGCCCAATCCAAAGTGCACTTTGTTGATCCTGGTCTTCTAGAAGAAAACAGAGAATATAAATATTACTTACAGTTAGTTATAAGACATGAGGGTGCAGTGAACATAAATAACGACTTTTCAAACAAGTTTTTCCAAACACTCACCCCATCTGCCACTGGTCGCCAAACATACTGCCATTTAAGAGCCTTTTTTCTTCTGACCTGCTAACAATCAAATTGCAATGAAAGAGTCTTGGTTGACCTCACACCTAATAAACACTGACTCTGTCAAAACAAGATTTGGCTTATATTTTGAAAAATGTGATGTTTAAAACTGTCATTTAGAATCTCACAGAAACATGTTTCTGAAGTGAAATTACATGAGACAGAAATGAAGACGCATCTGGAAATAGCTTCATCACTTTCTTCCCACTCTTTCTCTTTTCCATCTCTTCTCTGTCAGTGCTTTTATGGCTTTTGGACAAGTTATGCCGCAGTGTCGCATGCAAAGCTAGCGAGCCGAGAGACATTGGTAGTAAATATCAGAACATGAACATAATCCCCTCAAGCTGCAGAGGCTTCTGCTAGGAGATCACAAGATGTGAAAAGAAAGTACAAAGAAAGGACAAAAAGAACCAAAAAAAAATTAATTATATATATATATATATATATATATATATATATATATATATATACTGTATATATATATAATGTGTGTGTATATATATATATATATATATATATATATATAGAGAGAGAGAGATATTTACAGAAATGTGTGTGTATATTTAAGTGAAAGAAGATATTAGTTTAATAGAACGTTCTGTTCTCGGAACGTTAGTGTATAATTATAAAAAGAATGTTCCTAGAACATTAGGAAAAAGACTCAGCAAATTTTTCATCGCTACCACATTTGCCTCAAAGACACAGGGAGCGACTCATTTCAACAGCAACAAAGTCTGACAAACTATCTGCTGACAATTTATTCACTGTTAATTGAAAGCAGCATGGTGTGTCCCCAGATAAAGGAACTGCTGTGAAGTCAATTAATTAAAGAACAAGAGCAGCCACTGCGTGTTCCCATGGCAACAAAAGAAAAATAACCACTTGTGAGAGTGAAAGATTACACATAGTATGTCTGTGTGTGTGCGTATAGTGAAAAACTCCCAGTATATCAAATATTTTCATTTTTCAAAAATAAGTTCAGAATGTAACAAATGATTAAGCATCATTTGGTGCGCATTAAATTCGGGGAAAAAAAGAGAAAAAAATTTGCATGCTAAACAAAGAATCTGAACTAGCAATATGTTACCAGGAGAGTGAGTTTTTATTTTATTTTTTCAAATAATCACAGAAATATTACTGAATGTCATGTGGTTCATGAAAGTCAGTTGAAATTACTTCTAAGATCTTAACATTTTAAGAGTTAGATACTTATTCCAACATCACAATATTGAGGGTATGCTTAGAAATCTGCAACAGATGTAATCAGATGTATAGACATCTGTATTATGAGCACTTTACTTAGATTGCATATATATATATATATATATATATATATACACA